CAGGAATGCGGGCAGTGCCTTCCCCATCATAAGAACATAAGAGAAGCCAATGTCGGATCAGGCCAGTGGCCCATCCAGTCTCACACTCTGTCACACAGTGGCCAAAAATACCAGGGGCCATCAGGAGGTCCAGCAGTTGGGCCAGGACACTAGGAGCACTTCCACTGTTGACCCCCCCAAGCACCAAGAATACAGAACATCACTGGCCCCAGACTGAGAGTTCCTATTTATACCTTGTGGCTAATAGCCACTGATGGACTTCTGCTCCGTATGTTTATCCAATTCCCTCTTGAAGCCGTCCATGCTTGTAGCCGCCACCACCTCCTGTGGCAGTGAGTTCCATGTGTTAATCACACTTTGAAATCAACACTTGCCCGTCGTCTGCAGAGAGACTCTGTGCAAACATTTCTACCCCATTTTCCCACTCAAAGCCGCTCACAATAGTCTCCTCCTCCATTTTATCCTGCGAGGTAGGTTAGGTGGAGAGCATGTGACTGGCCCAAGGTCACCCAGAAGGCTTCTATGGTGGTGGGGTGGTTCAAATCCCAGGTCTCTCCATCCTGGTCTGATAATCTAACCACTACATCAAACTGGCTCTCATTTAAAGAACGCAGAAAAAGGAAGAGGACACTGGAAGAATCCAAGGGGTTGGAGAAGAAGAAGAAGAGATGGGATTTATACCCCGCTCTTCACTCGGAGTCTCAGAGCAGTTTACAAGCTCCTTTCCCTTCCCCTCCCCACAACAGACACCCTGTGAGATAGGTGGGGCTCAGAGAGCTTTCAAGAACTGCCCTTTCAAGGACAGCTCTGATAGAACTATGGCTTGCCCAAGGTCATCCAGCAGCTGCATGTGGAGGAGTGGGGAATCAAACCCAGTTCTCCCAGATTAGAGTCCGTGCAATTAACCACTACACCAAATTGGCTCTCGAGGAAGATGATGGAAGGGAAGATGACGGGTGGCAGCAGATGGGAAATTCAGAAACGGGATCCCCAAAAGAGTGAGAAAAAAACCAACCAGTTTTCTGCATGGTGCAGCAGTCAAAGTGTGGGACTAACATCTCCACCCTGCCGGGGAAGTCTACTGACTTGGGGCTAGTTTTAAATCTAACCCACCTCAGAGGGCTGCTGTGAGGGTAAAACGAAGGAGCAGAGAATGAGGCAAGCTACTTTGGGTTGGTTCCTGCTGTGGAAAAAAGACAGGGTATAAATTAAATAGGTAAATAAATAACAAACTGAGGTCAAGTTTGTACTGGGGATGTACCGATATATACCTTTCTGCAGGTGGTTAGTGTGAGCCTTTTCCTTTCACCAGTTTCTGCTACTTGCACGCCACTGTTTCTTTTATGCCGTTCATGCACATTTGATGCAAAAATTAAAATTAAACCTTAAGATTGCCTTAGTGTGATTGGAGGACAGCAGTGAAAAAAAACAAAAAAGACCCGCGGGCTTCAGTTTGCACAAGGGAGAAGAAAGGCAGAAACCGGGATTACTACGTTGAAGCTATGAGGCTGCAGTCGCAGCTTAACTCTCCTGGTGCCCTTCAAAGAACCCAGGAGATCACCGTTTGAGTAAAGGTCTCTATCAGTGTTCCCTCTAAGATGAGTTCATGTGAGCTAGCTCACAGTTTTTTAGCCTCCGGCTCACACATTTTTGTCTTAGCTCAGGAAGGATGGCTCCAGAGTAAACTAATTTATGCAGTAGCCAAATTGCTGGCTCACAACTTTAATGTCAGGAGCTCACAAAGTAGAATTTTTGCTCACAAGACTCCACAGCTTAGAGGGAACATTGGTCTCTATTCCTCCATCCCATGCTAACAAAATAATTTTAAAAACCCTTACAGTGGCCAATTTCCTTGGGGAAAGTGAACGACTACTCAAAATATTCACATTTGTGGTGCAGATGGCACACTTCGTTCTCTGCTATTTATGCCCACCCGCCACAGTCTTTTTCATTCATGTCACTTTGCTGCCCCCTGATGGTAACATCAGGACTGAGCAGAGTAGCCACATGAGAGTAAACCACACATGTCAACCGCACGCGTCTCTGTAAACTTACAACCGCCATCTGTGAGGCAAAGCTCCCCTGCCGCCCCCCCCCCCCCGAAGAGTTAATGTGAATGGTAACTGGCTTGTTCCATCCTGCAGGTGTTATTACTTGGTCTCTCGGCCTACACAGCCCTTATCATCTTCAAGGACAGAGCTGGGAAGGTAGCAATTAGCTCCACATGAGAACCTGCGGCCCACAGGATGGGAGGGGAGGAACCGGGGGTGATGAGGTCATTTTCTAGAGGGTTCCAGCAAGAGCATGTCCTGACTGGACGTCATCATCACCTGATGTTGCATGGGCTAAGAGCCCAGAGAAAAAGAGGCTAGTTTGGATTCTGATGGACTAGGGTTGCCAGCTCCAGGTTGGGAAACTCCTGGAGATTTGGGGGTGGAGCCTGGGGAGGACAGGGACCTCAGGGGGGTACAATGCCATAGAGTCCAACCTCCAAAGCATCCAGTTTCCCCAGGGGAACTGATCTCTCTAGGCTGAAGATGACCTGTAATTCAAGGAGATACCCAGGTCCCGCCTGGAGGCTGGCATCCCTATGATGGACTGAAAGCGTGGACTGTGATATACTTACATTGCAATGGACAGCAATGTAGAGAACACATGAGCCAAGAGCCTTTGACTCTTGGACTTAAGGTTTTTGCCACGTAACGCAGGCTTTGAAAATGTGTCAGAGAGTTAAGCTAATTTTCTTGTTTTCCTGCTGTGTGACTTCAGAGCATTGTGCTGCCAGTTGATTAAACCTTTGCTGTCACAGAACTTAAAATAAACTTTTAAAAAGAAAATAAAGAAAGGTTTGGTTATTTGTGTACAACGGCCCTGGGAACCCACCTTTGAATCCTGGTTTAGACATACATGCCAAAGAAGGAAACGGAAGACTCGGGTTCGTATCTCACTCTGCCACGGAGCTTGCTGGGTAACCTTGGGCCAGTCACACTCTCTCCGCTGACGATCCCTCATGGGGTTATTTTGAGGACAAGATGGGGAGGGGGAAGAGAGAGAACCAAGTCTGCCGCCCAGAGCTCCTTGGAGAAGGCCAGGATTTTAAAAAAGAGTCAGGTGTACAGAACAGACTGCACCACTGCAACTGCGGGGTCACGTTTTGGAAGGACAAAGTTTGAGTCCAGCGGCACCTTGAAGACCAACGAAGTTTTATTCAAGGTAAATAAAACTTTGTCAGTCTCAAAGGTGCCACTGGACTCAAACTTTATTCTGCTGCTTCAGACCAACAGGGCTACACACCTGAAGCTATGTTTTGGAAGGTTCCACTTAAGATTAAAAACTCCCCGCAAATAGAAAGCCAGCACAGCAAATAATGTGTGTGTGTGGGTGGTGGTGGTGGGGAGAACAGAACTCGGTAGGGTTTTTTTATTTGCGTGGCTTTTTTTCCCCAATGCGAAGGAATATCCAAAACTGGAATCCACCCCCTGCCGTCTTTAGTGGTGTGGTCCATTCTCCCACCTCTGCCCCTTGTGTGTGGGACTCAGGCAGAGGCAAGGAATCCCTGTGAGGAGATGCAGGCAAGAGGGAGGAAGGCAAGTCAAGCCACTGAGGCAGAAACGAAGCTCACCTTGATCGTCACTGCCTTCAGCCGGCTGCCGCACCACCTCCATGGGATTCGTGTTGTGATCTGCCAAATCATCGAGAGCTTCTCCGTTCCCCTCACTCTCCAGGCCTTCATGGAGCATGGCTTTCAGAAGCTTCTCCTGTTTCTGGATGAAGGACTCCATCCTGGCTAGGGACAAACCCTCCACTGCCTAAGAAAAGAAGGGGAGCGTCAGCTTCTTAGCACGCCGGAGCAAAACAAAGGAAACGCTCATTCTAGGAATGCTGCCAATTTGGTGTAGTGGTTCAGTGCGCGGACTCTAATCGGGGAGAACCGGGTTGGATTCCCCACTCCTCCACTTGCGGCTGCTGGATGACCTTGGGCAAGCCGTAGTTCTGATAAGAGCTGTTCTTAAAAAAGAACAGTTTCTCTCAGAGCTCTCTCAGTTAAAAAAGAACAGTTTCTCTCAGAGCTCTCTCAGTTACACCTATCTCGCAGGGTGTCTGTTGTGGGGAGGGGAAGGGAAAGGAGTCTGTGAGCCGCTCTGAGACTCTGAGTGAGTGAAGGGCGGGGTATAAATCCAATCTCCTCTTCTTCTTCTGGATATCTTTGTGAATTCAAGCCCTCAATGCTCACTGAGCTTTCCTCAATGAGGTTATAAACTTACAGAGGTGCCTTCCTTCAGGGAGTACATGATCTTCTCTTGCGTGCCAGTCACATTCAACACTGGGGCAATTTTACTGGATGCAAACCTCAGCCTAGACCTGTGAAAGAGAAAACCTCAACATCATTTCAGAGAAACACGTTTATGACATTCATCACCTCCGAGTCTCCTCTGAAAGAGCTCGTCAAGACATGGATCCGCTTCATTACTGAACAAAGGTGGACCACGAAAGGTGTGAACTGAAAAAAAACAATGCCATATAACATGGCATGAAGCAATATGAAAGTCTGAAAGAGTCATCCCCTGTTCACACACATGAGTTACGCTCTGTCATGTCAGCGGAAGGCAAAGTGTGCCGCCGAGTTGCGACGGACTCATAGTGACCCGTGAAGCTCCACCTCGTGGGGGTTTCAATTGAAAAGAGGTGGTTTGCCATTGCCTTCCTCAGAAAAGCAGCCCTAGTCATACTTGGTGGTCTGACTCTGCTTAGCTTCTGAGCTCTGGACAAGAGAGGGCCAGCCTGGGCTGTTAGAGCGGCTATCCTGTCAACTAGTAAAGGTAAAGGTTTCCCTTGCTCGAAAGCTAGTCGAATCCGACTCTAGGGGGTGGTGCTCATCTCCGTTTCGAAGCCGAAGAGCCAGCACTGTCCGTAGACGTTCCCGTGGTCATGTGGCCGGCATGACTAAACACCAAGGCGCACGGAACGCTGTTACCTTCCCACCAAAGCGGTACCTATTTATCTTCTTGCAATTTCTTGCTTTTGAACTGCTAGGTTGGCAGGAGCTGGGGCCAGAGACGGGAGCTCACTCCGTCATGCGGCACTCGGGTCTTGAACTGCTGAACTCCTGGCCTTCCAGTCTGCAGCTCAGCGTCCTAACCTCTCAGCCACCACGGCCCCTTCTGTCAACTAGCAAACAATGAAAATATGCATGTGAACCAGGCTGGGGGATCCCAGGCAGCCACCTGTCCAGGCCAAACCGAGTGTCCTCCTTAAAGCTTTGAAGGAAGCAAACAAGAATTTTGAGGTTTATCACTGCAAAACCTCAGGAGCATTTCATGCATTTCTAGCTGTTCACAGCAAGCATGCAACAGCAGCCCTGCTGGGTCAGACCGAAGGCCCATCTAATCCAGCATCACATTTCCAACCCTGGTTGGTTAGACCAGGAGTCCCTGACCTTTTTGAACCTGTGGGCAGCTTGGAATTCAGACACAGGATGATGGGCACAACCACAAAATGGCTGCTGTAGGAGGCGGTGCCATCCACAACAGACGGCACGACACACGTAAAAAGGAAATCCAAGTACAGGGGAGAAGAAACTTAATTTTAATTTTAAAAGTAAAGGTAAAGGTTCCCTTGCTCGAAAGCCAATCGAATCCGACTCTAGGGTTGCGGTACTCATCTCTGTTTCAAAGCCGAAGAGCCAGCGCTGTCCGAAGACGTTTCCGTGGTCATGTGGCCGGCATGACTAAACATCAAGGCGCACGGAACGCCGTTACCTTCCCACCGAAGTGGTACCTATTTATCTACTTGCAATTTCTTGCTTTCGAACTGCTAGGTTGGCAGGAGCTGGGGCCAGAGACGGGAGCTCACTCCATCATGCGGCACCCGGGTCTCGAACTGCTGAACTACTGACCTTCCACAGCCTGCAGTTCAGTGTCTTAACCACTTGAGCAACCGCAAAAGAGTAGTGAAACACTTGGTGAGCACCAGAAATGGTCTTGGTAGGTGCCATGATGACGCCCACGGGCACCAGGTTGGGGACCCCTGAGTTAGATTCTTCCAGGAAGACGGCAAGCATGCAATGAAGGAAGGAAACCTTAATGCAAACGTTCAGGATCTTGGGCTCACTGCTTTGGCTTCTGCACTGGAAATGCACTTCGGGAAGAGGACGGCACAGTGATGTCCCGAAGCGCACTCACTAGGAAGCGAGTCTCATTAAACTTCAGCGGGATTTGCTTCCAAACATACATAGATTTGGGCTGCAAACCAAAGTGCAAAATTCCCTCTATGAAATCTACAAGCAGGGAGAGGCTGGAGTAATTTGGAAGGGTCTTCTGGCTTTTTGAAGTAAAAAAAATAAAAATCTGTTTATTGCTAAGGAATGCCATCTCCAGCCAAAGTATTCTTTTTTTTCTTTTAAAAACACACCAGATTTCATATTGTTTATGTGATGGCTTTAATGAAGTGAAATCTTGTTCCAAGAAACGTGTCCCGGATATGGCTGCATTTCACCCTGTTCCAACCAAGAATCCCTGACTGGCCCGAAGGGATCCAGTCACCTACAGAAACGGCAAATATTTCACATGGACGGTGCCGGCCCCCTGTTCACTCTGGATAAACAATGCTAAGTATCTGCTGGCTCACACATCTGGTGGCCTTTGAAGAACACACGATACCCAAGGTAAAAATAGGAGTAGTACAAGTGGAGACCCGCAAGAAACTTGCGGAATGGCCATCCTATTCCCCACACCTTTGCTTCCTCCTGTCTCCCTCTACCTCTCTCACTCTCTTTCTCCCTTCTGCCCCCCCTTTCTTTCTTCCTCTCTCTCCTCCATGTATGGTTTGGAGGGTGAAGTCTATGGCATTATACTGATCTGTAGTTCCTCCCCTCCTCAAATCCCACCCTCACCAGGCTCCACCCCACAAATGTCCAGGAATTTCCCAACCTGGAGTTGGCAACACAATTTCCTTCCCACCCAACACTACCACCCAACAGAACTACTGACGTTCCACAGCCTGCAGTTCAGCATCTTAACCACTTGAGCCACCGCAGCTCCTTCTGAGCAGCTAGGCCAACGCAAAGTGATACCAAGTGGCCATCACTTCACAGAGACAATTAAATGGTACGGATCCTCCACAGAGAAGAGGGTCAAAACGTCAAACCAAAGAAACTGAGCCCCCGCGGGTACCCTTACTTGTTGGCCTTCTGGGACTTCCCATCCACTTCCGCCTCGCTTAGCTCTTCCGTGGGGCTCTGAGGCTCGGATCTGGGGAATGCCGTCTTCAAGGTGTCCACAATGGCGTTCATCACAATCTGAAACAGACCACAAGGAAGGCCGAGGGTTGGGGCCCTTGCTCCAAACAGACTGGGGCCATCTTACGAAGATCACTCACCACGCAGCCCTTTTTATGAGATGTACCAAGAGCGCCCACACAAAGATTCCGTAAAAGCCCCTTTGGTGTCCGGGACATTCTAACATTCAGAAAAAAAAACGCACAAGGCGCTTCCTGAGAGGCTTACTGCTATGACACCCCAGCAACTTGGCCCCCTGGAATTTCGTACCCTTCGTCTCGCCAAAACCATCACCACTTCCTGCCTCCACAGTTGTGTATATCACAGGCACCGCATGAAGGGTGTGTGTAAAATGGGAAAGAGGGTTCTTTTTTCCTAGCGGGAAGACCAATCAAGGCCGGAGCAGTGTTTGACCACACCGCAACTCACAGGCAAGCTGCCTTCTACTCAGTCAGACTCTTGATTGACACGCTTTCACACATGCTGAATAATGCCGTTTCAATCCACCTCAGCAACTGTTTGCAAGTGGATTTGCCGTTCCACACAGTGAAATCCAGCTGCAAATGGCACTAGAAGTGCATTATTTAGTGTGTGTGAAATAGAGATGTGAAGGCCCGGAAAAAAAACTGAAAAATTCAGAAAAAAACCGTTTTTTCCCCGAAGCCTTTTGTTTTTTTCCGAAAAATTGGAAAAATTGAAAAAAGAAAAGAAAAAAAATTGATTATGGAACGTTTTATTTTAACATGATGAATAAAATATTTTAAGACAAGGTGTTCAAATATTTTTCAAATCATTGCTTATATATATATAGAACAAGATGCATTTCTTCCTTTAGGAGGTGCGATTGTCAGAAGAAAATAAAAAAGTTTCAGTTTTGTTTTTGCATGTGGGTGGGTATTCTGTTTGTAATAATTGTTTGGATACACTATATTTTTAATATGCTAGTTGTGATAATTTCATGCCAAGTAAAAATGTCCATAGTCATATTTTATGTTCCTAAAGTTCCTAAAAAAGATGACTTTCAATCTAGAAAAGACAAAAGAAATGCTAATATAGCATTTTTTTCAATTTTTCCAAAAATTTCCGTTTCCCCCGAAAACCCCCGGAAAAAAACCGGGTTTTTTTCCAAGTTTCAAAATTTCTGGAAATTTTACATCTCTAGTGTGAAAGCACCCAGAACTGTCTACTCCAACTGGCATTAGCTCTCTCAGAGATCTTTCACATCAGCTCCCGCCGGATCTCTTTCATCGGAGATGCTGGGGATTGAACTTCGGACCTCCATGCGAACCGGATGCTCTCCCACTCAGCCACGGCCCCACCGCTGGTCCTTACTGAGTGAAATGCATTACATCTTCCTCACAGGAAGAGCATTGGTGGAGCAAAGGGCCTCAGTGGCCAGACGACACATTTTGTTGTTCCACAGCTCGTGTATCAGGCCCTTTCTGCACTCTCCTTTTAATCCATGTTTACTCCAAGCAGTTCTGCACTAAAATCAGATTCAATCAGGGATATTTTTGGGCAGGAACGCACAAGAATGGAGTTCCGGCTGGCTCCCAAATTGGCCATGCCCAGCAGGAACTAATTAGCATAATAGGCCACACCCAACAGCAGAAACTCA